ATCCATCCATCCATCCATCCATCCATCCATCCATCCATCCATCCATCCATCCATCCATCCATCCATCCATCCATCCATCCATCCATCCATCCATACATTCATCCATCCATCCATTTACCTTGGCAACAAATCAAATCTAGTCATCGGCATTACATCTCCTCTCAACTCACCAATATTCATCACTATGCTTTCTGTTCAGAACTTTTAAAGTCTCTTGTTCCTGACTCATCAGTACTGAGCTCTCAAAATATCGTTACTCCTAATCCCTGTTTGATGGTTTCGAAGTTCTTGCACTTGCTAAAGTTTATAGTTTAAAGTCCTTATCACAAGGCATTGTTTCACAACTGCATAAATCGGGAAATTTATATTCAACAATCCAACCAGTGAGACACAAACAGAAGGTCTGTAAGCTAGTTCAAGGAGAGGAGTAAGGCGGGATGGGGGTAAAAGAGGAGTGAATATTTTGCTCCACTCTTTCCTCCTCCTCGCTCCGACCCACAGATGTTATTATCACGTCGACTTCCATGTCTATGAGAGTTGTTTAGTACGGGCGACCAGGATTGGTTAGTTAAGGGGAGGAGGGACAGACAAACACCACCACCACCACCACTTCTCTCCGCCCCACCCCACTCTACCTGTCGAATCTGACATTTGTGTGCATATGTCCCATGCGAATCATTCTGGCATATGCACTGATTCATCAATCATATCTGTCCGCCTGCCTCCTTCCTCCTCCCCTCCTCGTACCTACAATGCATGCCCGTGTAGACACACGTTCTGTCGGTCCCTGTGCCGAAACTAAGAAGAAAACTGAGAAGGAAAGCCATGAAACTGGACTCTTACACTGCAAGTCAATTTGTTTGCTGGGATCTAAGACGAAAAGAGTTGATTGCCTTAACAAATAGAAAGGTAGGCCACGATATAATGTCAGCAATTGGTCAGGCGAAGTTTACAAACTGGATGACATGCGAACCGAATGCCGAAAAGCAGATGGCAAAAGCGCCGGTCTGAGGGCCGGTGGAAGTGAGATAAGGCTGTCTGAGGCGTGCGTGATATCAAGTTCCAATGTCGGTGGAATGACAGGTGGTCAGGCTGGCAGATGGTTAAGGAAATTGCCTATTAATTTGATTACCCCACCATCTAATCAGACGGGAAAGCAGGAGAGCTAAAATTCTTAAAGTTGGTTAGGATTTAGTGACCCATTTACTTTTACTTAAAAGACAACTCCTTGTTGTGAATATTACAATTTATTAGGACTTCTTTTTTGCTAAGGGGAGATTTGTCTACAGTTAGATCAAGCCTGTACTTAACAATCCCACTTAGCTAAAGAGTATTCTTTGCTAGCGTTAAATAACACATTACGGGTAAATGATACATCGTATTCATCTAACACACTGGTGGTTAAAAAAAAAAAAACAAATTTAACATGTGCGCGGAATATGCTAACTGAGTGACCTGTAGCGTAATGCAATATCGCCCATACTTACTTGTCCCATAGTACTTACAAACAAAACCAATTAATTACACCTATTCCTGGAAAGAATGTGAAACAGAAAAAAATGAAAGATTTCTGGCTACGAGTTATTATTAATAGGTGTTCCAACTGATTGTCTTTTGAATTGAAGCACCGACTTATCACGGGAAACACTTTGAGCACTTATTTCCACATTTACTGATCTTTTTTGTTTCCCATTAAAGACGATGGAGTTGCCAATTCCGTTGGCTCACAAGAGGAGAACAATGAGGATGCCGACTGTGATGCCGACAATCGAGTGACCACGAAAAGACAGAAGAAGCGTGGGATCTTTCCCAAAGTTGCCACAAACATTATGCGTGCATGGCTTTTCCAACATCTTTCCGTAAGTTTGGTGAAGGCGGCTGTGTTTATCTGGTAGATGGGTAGAGGTACTGGGTCATTCCGTATTAATGAACACAGGGGATGAGTTGCTTGAATCTTTTTGCTTTTTTGGTTATGTCCAGCATCCCTATCCATCCGAGGAACAAAAGAAACAACTTGCTCAGGACACTGGACTAACGATTCTTCAGGTTAATAACTGGTTAGTTACTCGTTCTTCCTTATCCGGCAATAGTTTTATTTATGTCTGATGTAAGTCTCTCCCTTCTTTGTGGCACTTCAGGTTCATTAATGCACGACGGCGTATCGTTCAACCAATGATTGATCAGTCAAACAGAGCAGGTAAGAGTGGTAATTCTCCACGGAATTTTCACTTCTTTTTAAAGGAATGTTTGCACAAGAACCGAAAAGGCTGCGTCTAGCTACTTACCTAGGGAGGGGTCGACTCACCTTTCTGAGGAGATTTTGACCAGTTCGACTTATTAAAATCTAGTCTCACCTTATAACCCTTAAAATAGATGCATTTGCCATAATCCGGTGATTGTGAGTATAGCAATTGTACTATCCACAGTGGACGTCTCTCCTTTATGACAACTGTGTGAAGTATCCCGTCAATTGAGTCAGCCAGTCAGTCGCGTTTGCGGTCTCAGGAGGGCTGTAACATTGCTGCCAGAGGCTATGCCATATAAGACTTGGATTATCCCCTTTTCCAGGGAAAATGGGTGCATAAATAAATAAACAGACTAAGTAGTATTTAATGCACCAGTATAATCAAATTAGTGATGCATTTTGACACCTCCTCTCCTCGCTCATCCTTCGCAGCACCACACATGTATCCCACTGACTCACCCAGCTCCTGTTTGGGCTACATGGAGGGGTCCCAATACGCAGCCTACAGTCGAGCTGCTGCAGCCGCTGCTGCTGGTACGTCTTCAGTTGCATCCAGGCTGTTAAATTACTAATTAGTAAAGTAGTCAGTCCATAAAATGCCCTTCTACCCTTATTTACCCATTCAGCTTATCATTATTGATTTTTACCTAAATAGTGTTTCAATATTGATTTTTTGCACTCAGTGAGCGTTTCTTTATCGATTTTTCGCCTTCATAACCTAACTGATGAGTGACGAAAATTTAAAAATTTACACCTCAACCGACTTTATACTTGTTCTAAAATAATTTTAAAAGGGTAATATTTCTATGCGAAACACCTTTCTAGTGTTTTTTGCCGATATCTTAAAAAATGTTAATTTCTTAAGTGGAATTTATTGAATGAGTAATACTTGGCGATATCCTTTTTATGACTGGTGGAAAAGATTGGCAATCTTGCATTGGTGGGGGGATGGAAGCTCCTCTCCATGTATAATCGATTCCAACTAAGATATTCTATTGTAAATAAAACACGATTTATTGGTTTTATTTTACCGCATGTTTTCGCTTTTTTAAAAGAGAGTTTAGTAACCATTCAGATGCTTTTCAATGGGAATTTACCTTAGACGTAATTAAATTTTGATTAGATAGTTACCTTTCGTAAAAAGGGAATTCTAAGGAATCCTTAGACATTACCTTAATCAAAATTTAATGGCTTCCTTAGAATGTTAAACAAAAAAATATTAGGTGCATTTAATTAGGACCTTCCTCTACATTGGTGAGATTTGTGGAAATTATTGCCTCTGGAGATTTTGCTTCGTCCCCTCAAAGCATCCACAATCTCGTCGATTTTATCCCAATTTAATTTCAGAAATAATTGCCGTTTTAATTTTGCTGTGCCTACCTTGTAGGCCTGGCCTCGCATTCAAGTCCCAGTGAAATGTACATAGCAGCAGCGGCAGCCGCAGCAGCTGCTGTAGGTGGAGCCTCCGCGAATTCCATAGCTCCTGTAAGCACTCGCAATCGTCGAACGGGTGCGGACGTAGGTGGCGGCGGCAGCGGAGGTGGAGGCGGCGGTTTTATTGATTCATCCTCTATTACCCCGGGTGACTTCTTCACACCGGGCTACTATCCCACGCCAGCTGCCTACGGTCCATCGTCGTATTCTTCCACCGCTTCCAGCACCTATCGTCCACAATATCATACCTTAGGAGGTAACCTAGCGGCCTCTTACTATCCTGCAATGTACAACCACCTGGAAGAAGCCCTTCCATACACCCCTCCAATCGGTTTTTTACCAGCAGACGAGGCAAAGAAGGCGAATACCGGGTCGTCTGCCAACACATCTACCAACACATCCACTGAATAGGTCTACTGCAGGGTCAATGTTATCTGTGAGCGCTTGTTCAATGCGCCTTTCTTGGACACAGGGTATTCTTGATTATACGTAGCGGCAACAAACAGACTTACAAATCACTTTCACACACACACACACACAAAACAAAAGAACTCATGACATTGCAACTACGACCAACCCTCTTCCATTCATTCATTCTCCGTACTTGGGTCTGCATTTTAATCTTCTTATCATGACTATTGAGATGTGTTAATGAGATAAAGATATTATAGGTCTGCAAAAGCGTTTCTCTCGTTTTAAACAATTTACATATTTTTACGCAAAACAATATCAAATGGATGTAAAATTTACTCGTTTCTACCCGAGGACAGGTTTCAGCACCTTGAAAAATGGTTTTTTTAACTACTTCGGTAAGTAATCAATCAGAAGGATTCATTCCACTGTTTCAATAAAACCCTGCAAAGAGGTCGACAAAAGGGGCGTTTGAAAGTGGACGGAAAGCAAAGAGGAAGGGCGAGAGAGAGAGAGAACTGGGTATATCATATCAGTGGAGGTGGAACGTCGCTTGCTTGCATATGCACGGAAATATCATTCATCCGTCAAACCGGCTGTCCAACTGTGACAGATTGTGTGTTTGTCCACATGGCTATAGTCATTCCATCTTCCGGCATTATCTTGCCTTCCACCCCTACACTTTTTCCACCCCCCCCCCCCCAATCTCCCCATTATATATTCATATTGGGCTGATAGCCATCTCCATGGGCTTTAATTATCTTAATTGGATGGTTCCCCCTGTCTATCTTGTCTCCTCGATGCATTCAGCAATTTGCTATGCAAAGTGATTCAGGCTCTTGAGGAGGAACAGTTAAACAAGCTCAATCATCCATCGAATTAGGAACTGTCACCTCCAATATTTGACAATGCCGTTGTAAAATTGGAGGCTTCATGATTGGGGGTGGGAAACCCTCCACATCACAAGGAGCGCCTTTTGTGGTTGTCAGTAGATTTGTCATCAAATATTTTTTTGGAAATGGATCCAACTTAGAGAGTCGATCATGGCCTTCAACAGGTCACAGACCTGATTGTATCCATGAGATTGTTGGTAAATCCACTCAAATGCACTGCCTTTTCGGTTGCAAATGGACACATCGCCTTGGGAAAAAAATGCGCAAAGTACAGATCTCCGCTATTCGGATGTCATTTTCAGTACACACATTGAAGAGGAAGAATTCAAAGCATCGTTCTCTGTGGCATCTTGAAAAAGGTCACTAGCTTTGCGAATTTAATGTCAAAATCACCTGCGGATTGGCCGTTTGTAGGTGGCTTCATAATATATGCTCGCTTCTTAAAACTTTTTTTGCAAATCATTCTGAAAATTTGTCGAAAAACTCCTTCTAAATAGATGGCAAGAAACTGCCATGAAGTAGTAGTACAATATTTAAATAACCAAATCATGTGATTTGCAGTGAGCATGAAAAAAGCACTGTCCTCTTTGTCACCCCCTCCACAAAAGGTTACCAGAGTTTGACAACGAACCTTTCAGGAAAAGAAAGATTTTACGTCAGAACAGAAAAAATAGCCAGATTAACCAACTTATAATATTTTTTGTTTAAAAGAGGTCGCACTTAGCCTCTTGACCGGATATTTTGTCTACAACAAAAAAAATTAATTCGAACTGACAAAATAATAAGCGATTGCGTAAACATTTATTTTTTGCCACTTTGAGTACCAAACCCCAGGCAGATTTTAAAGGAACCGCTTAGTAAGGCACCAATCAGCGTAGTGTGGAGATATCGGTCGGTCGATAGATCGATGGATCGATACATGTATCGGTCACCATTGGCTTAGTCCCATATATGCGTCATTTCCATGAGATGAGGTGGAGGAAGCTAGTCCGGCGAACGTTTGAGGAGAAAGATGCTTAGACCTCTCATTCCTCTTTTCCAAAAAAAGCATTAATTTACTCGAAGCGAGAAAAAGGCGAGTGGAAAAAGCAGCGTCTTGTAATGAAGCGAGCAAAATGCGAGCGTTTACTGCCTTGTCAATCATTCAACCCCCCTTTTTGCGTGATTCATCAGGGAAGGGCAGATTTGAAGCCCCACAAGGTAGGTGGCATTTTTATTCTTTTTGGGAGTTAAATATCAGCTGTAATTTGTGTGTGCGTGTGTGTGTGCATACATGTAAATTTAAGTTGTCTTTCCGTGGTAGAAAGACTCAGCCTATTCATTCTTTTTTTTACTACTTTCAAAACGACCAGTTGGCTCATGATTAATTGAAAATGACGGAGTGATTTCTGAGGCGCCCCTTATTAGCCGACTCCGGACAGATGAGGTGAATCGAATGAGAGAGAGAGAGGGGAATGTCCTTGTGAAAAAGGAGGAAGAAGAGCCGGCGGAAGGCGATAGGAGTTCTGTTTCAAAGTGGGCTAATCCATCGAAGATTATAAATTAGTTGTTCCGGAAACAGATTAATGAAATACGAGAAAGTCTGCATCTATAGTTGAGTTTTACTGTTTATATCGCAGGAAAAATCTTCTGATAGTATTTACGTGACAGTGTAGTAATTTGACAAAAAACTGGAACAAAAGGTGTTTACAGAGGCGGTTCCCTCCATTGTGCACTCCACTATTTGTCGGTTATTTTGGACCCTTGTATTATAATACGGAAGACTCCATTCCAGCCAGTTTTTAAGGAGCTGCAAAAGCTCTTCGTCAAACTTGGAGTAGAGAAGATACTCTATTCTTGAAAAGGGCAGGGAATTATGTGATCCTAGTGCCATGGTAATGTGTCAGGAACAGCTTGCGCTTGTGTGTGGCATGAGTGAGAGCATTTTTCCCCACATCTACTGAGTAGTGAAGGGAAAGGCGTGGCGAAAGCTGGAAAGCATTACCAACTGGATTTCCCTTTCTTGTTCCTCACTTTTGAGTCTGGTTCCTACTTACCTGAAATGGGATGAAAAGGATCATGTCATTGTGTGTCCCCAAACCATCCACAGCACGGGTACGATCCCCACTCATTTAGGGAATGCACCACCTCATTCTCCAAAGGCTAGGTATTGTGTGTTTAGTGGAAAGAAGACGCAACCCTTCAACGGGAAATTGTCCCTTACTAAGGGCCAAACAACATCAACTCGAAAAAGTAGTCAGTGATTAAGGTGTTTCTTTCCGTTTATTACAAGAAGACGTGAGTCTCATGGATGAAAACTTGTGAATGAGGAGGCCTCAAGGTACACTTGGCAAGTCGTTGCAACCAGAAACTGAGGCAGCATCGTGTAGAGGGGTTAGAGGGTCCCCGTATCGGTTATCCTGGAGTCATTTTATCACTCAATCCTTGAATGTGGTTGTACCGGAGCCTGATAGCATCTTCATGTATACCTAATCACCTTTGATTCCTTACAAAGAGTAGGTAAGATTTTGCTGGCTCATAACACAAGGGCTAGAAATCCACGCCAACTTTTTGACTCTACCAGAGGCTCCGATCATGCAACGGAGGAGATCCATGATCAACATCAGGGTTGGATAGATCAAATTCATCCCTAGAGAACCTCTTTCGATTGCAAGGACCTTAAAATTATTGAGACGGATTGCTGGCTGGATTGCAATAAAAGTTGAAGGAGGGGATGCGATTTAAACGTAAGTCTAAAAAGAAGTTTTTGTGACAATTAAATGACAAATAAAATGTCCTTATCATAGAACATCCTCAAGCCTTGTTAAAATATTGACAATTTTCAGTGGAATCTGATGGTAATTACAATCAAGTGTTGTCACTCATATCACTTGACTGTTTTCATACACTTGACGCTGAAGAGTGATAACTTGTGGCGACTACGATGACACTCGTAGTGAGAGAGGAAGGGAGGATTATGCCTACACCGAACCGAAGGTGTTAGTGGGTCCCTCTTACAAAAAGGCAATGGGCCTCGAAAACCACCTGCTTCATTCTGACCCTCTTTACATTGTTGATGGTCATTACCAGAAGATTCATTCATCAGCTATGCCAGAGCTCTGGAGAATGCACCACTTTGTAATGGCCAAACAATGAATGCGACTGAGGCACATTGTAGGCTCATTACTACTCGACACAACCTGACGCAACTCCTCTTCTTGAGAAATAGCTAGAACTGGTCAACCGGTTCGAAGGAAGTCCTTTTCTTCTTCCTTATGACATCAAAAGAGGTCATGTTGCCAGATTTGCCCACGAGAAGACCTCCTTACTGCGCTTTGGGCTATGAAAGAGGAAGGTAGTGCCTCATTTCCTCCGATGATATTGCTGCAAGCACCAAGTCCTGACGACCACCTTTTCTTTGCATTCTTGGAACACAGAGGCGGAAAATACATAAGAGGTAGAAACAAAGGTGAATTTGAATGGCTGATAGCATCAAATCAGAGAGGAGGTTGACAACTGCCTCAGGCACGAGATTTGCGCTGCAGCCAGACTAGGGCTGCATGAAATAAAGGTGACTTCTGAGAACCCGTTGGTGAAAATCCAGTTGACGGAAGGCGTGAATGCTGTTCCGCCTCCAGATGGATGTGCCTTTGAAAAGGTACCTGTAGCAGTTAATCGTCTAGCTCTAAGCACCACTCGGTAAATGCATGACCTCGGCCAATTTGACAAAAAGGTGGTGAGAAGTAAATCCGACCAAAAAGAAAACCGTAAAAGTCTCCTTGCAATGCTAAAAATTGGGTTTGGAATCCTAACTGCTACGATTTTTCTTTCCTTGCCTTCGAGGTTAAACTTGGTTACAACTTCTTGGTACATTAATCATAAATTATTCTGGAGGTGCGTAACCTCCTCTTTGAATCAAGAAGGGTGGATCTTTGAGTGATTAATCGGGAGTAAAAAAAGTAAGTTGTTTAAACCATTCGGTTCTGGGAGGTGAGTTGTTCTGCTGCCTTGCAGACCCCAGAGGCAGTAATGCGAGTAACTAAGCAAGCAAGCAAACAAGCAAAGACGCGCACCGGATTGGACTTGGGTTTGTTTTCTTGCACAGTTAGGTTGTTGTTGATCCATCGT